GAGCAGAGGACAGTCCCAAGAAATCAGGTGATACCCACAGCTTCCTCATACTACCCTGCTATATCCCTCCAAGCAGTAAAAATCCCATCCCCAGCTGCAAACTGGCACCTGGCAAAAAATAGTGTGAGGGACACAGAGGGTGTCACTCACCCCTCTGCAGGGTGGCAGCAATGAAGCTGTGCTGCCTACTCTTCCCCCATACCCACTTTGCCACAGGGCGATGCCTGCCCCCCTCTCTCCACCGGCACAGCCTCCACCCTGCAGGATTATTTATTATTAGTATTTGCTCCTGTCTCTCTCTGCTCCGGGACACGAATTCCAAGCATCTTTCCCCTGCCTGGACCTGCCACTCGCAGCCGCAGCCAGTGGGGGATTCTGGCAGCGGCGCTGCGGCGCCCTGCTTGGGGGGCTCCTGCACTCACCCCACTCCATGCCAGCCAAACCTCTGCCCACCCAAATGCCAGGGCAGGGCTGGCCCAGGGTGGTGACATGCAGAGGATGGCTGGGAAGGGAGGGGAAGGTGAGTTTTGGAGGGTGCCTCATCCCTCCATCTCCAGCATTCTGACTTGGGGGGGCTGTGGGAAAAGGGATTCCAGGGCATCAGTTCCATGAGCGGCTCCTCCACAAGTATATGCAACACCTGATTCCCATTGGTGTTAGCAGGAGCTGGGCACACTGGTGCCTTTCCAGCAGTGCCACCCAGGCACTCCTGCCCCACCAAGCCACACGACCACCCACCCGCTCCCACCTGGGGCTGGCAGAGCCCTCAACAGGCAGCCCACAGCTGGCAGGGGTCCCCATGCCACCCTGCCAGCCAAGCCCTGAGGGGATGCCGCTCCTCTGACAGCTCCTCCAGACACGTGGCTGCCCCCAAGCTACCCTGCCCTGGCATGCTGCGCCTGGCACAGGCAGCACGGAAGGAAGAAGGGACAGCCATGACTGTGCCATGGAGGCCACACCTGGGAATGGCAGCCCATTCTAGCATCCTTGGATGGGGTTGCTCATGTGATGGACCTGGGAACCCTAAAAATGTGGGATGGTTTATGCAGTCCCTGGAGGCATACAGGGAGGCAGGTGCCTGCTGGCACCTCTCAGTGCAGGGCTTCTGACACCCACCTTGCAGTCCTAGGGACTGCCACATTTCTAGCTGGGATGTCCCATGTCCTCAGAGTTCCAAGGGCTCCCAAACTCACCACGACCTGCAGGATATTGCTTATCTCTACTACCTCAGTTGTTGAAGGCAGCTCCTTTAGCATCCCCATGCCTGATGTGCCTGTGGCTCCTCCAGCTCCAGTTGCTCCTGGGTACTCAGCAGCTCATTCGCCAGCATCTTTCACTCACCACCTGGTCTGGCCCTGACATCCTGGTACCACCCTGCTTCCAGCCTGAAGCTCTGCCTGGCACAGATCCCACCTGCCTTGCTGCCAGGTTAGGGTGAAAATAGGTGACTGCAGAGGCAGGAGTGTTCCCCATGTGCCCTAGCCCTCTGCCCCTTGACTGAATACACCTCCCTATGTTGTGGGGAAGCCACACCTGCAAATCAGCTTTTTAAATGAGCCTGTCTCCCTTCCACAGGCCAGTGTCTCCCTCAGGGCATCAGCTCTGACCTCCACTGGTACCTGCAGCTGCTGGGTGCCCAGAGAACCCTGCTCTTTCCAGTGTCCCCAGGGAGGCCACCCTGACCTGCTTGCATGTCCAAAGGGCATACCCACTTTGCCTTGATCTGGCCATGCACAAGCAGGAGATGTGATGGCTAAGGAGAATGGGGCTCTCTCCAGCATCTTCAGCTGTTCTGGCACAGGGACTAACAAGGGAACAGGGGCAGGACTAAACTCATCCAGTAAGTGGTCCTATAAGCCCAAGGTGCCCTCTCACTCTGCCCCTGCTCTGGTTTTGATGCAGCTAGACTGTACAAGGACTTCTGCATCTACCTGGCTGATACCTGGACATCCATTCCTGCCACCTAGTCTTGTCCTCAGCGTGACATCAAGGTGTCCACCCAGAACACAAAGACGGGACAAGCACTCCTCTCTGCTCCCTACAAGGCCAGGAGAAGGGATGTGCAGGGCACCCACGGGGTGAGGGGCAGCTCCCAGCAGCTGTGCACTGCCTCCCACCCGGGCCCCTTCCCCCAGCACACCCTGGGGTCCCGGGGGAGCAGTAAATCACTGCCAGACGAGGGTGCATTCTTGGGCTTTGTGAAGCCCCGCGCTGTCTGGGAGCATCGGTAATTGCTTCATTACAACACAGGGAGACATGTCCTGGCAGTAAAACCTCATCATGACTGCACCGGGGAGCACGGAGCAATCCCCTACATGTACATACACACGCACGCACACACGCAGGTTTGCACACCCAGACTTTGCTCCAGGAGTCCCGGGGTGATGCGTGACTGGGCAGCTGGAGGATTTTGGGGAGATGGGAGGCCGAGGAAGTGCTGGCCTTACCCTGCAGACATGTCCTGGCAGTAAAACCTCATCATGACTGCACCGGGGAGCACGGAGCAATCCCCTACATGTACATACACACGCACGCACACACGCAGGTTTGCACACCCAGACTTTGCTCCAGGAGTCCCGGGGTGATGCGTGACTGGGCAGCTGGAGGATTTTGGGGAGATGGGAGGCCGAGGAAGTGCTGGCCTTACCCTGCTGCAGGATCTGAAGTATTTGCTGTGGCTGGTGCAGTTCCAGCGGCGGAAGCGGAATTGGTATTGGCATTCCCGGACGCCCAGCTTGGTGCCCTTAGCCACCTCTTGCACGATCTCTGGCTCCAGCTGGCAGAGCTCCGCCTGCTTCCCAGCCAGCCGCTTCGTCTTGCGGCAGATGCTGTTGGGGTCCATGACCAGGGGGCTCCCCACTGCCCTGCAGGAGGGGACAGCGAGCAGAGCAAAACCAGCACCCGAACCCAGGAGAGACGAGAATGCAGATGCTCCCAGGGATGGAGCAGGGCCACAGGGCAGTGCTGGCTCAGTGATGAGCCTGGGTGACAAGGGGACAAAGAGAGATATGCAGGGAGGGCAGGACAAAAGGTATGGGTGGCACCTATGTGCCAGCACTCAGGGGCTATTTTGCCCTACCCAGCCAGTTGGAAAACGGGAGGGATCCTCAACCATGGGGCTGGCTATAGGGTGATGCTAGCACATACCACTTCACAACTTTAAGGACATCCACGGGGATGAACAGCAGTGTCCCTGATGGGAGATGGCAGATACTATGCTACTCAGCACATGTTCTTTGGGTCTGGTGCTGACCCAACAGAGCCCTGGCATCACTGTGTGACTGATGTCTGGTGCAGCCGCATCTCCCAGACCTGTGTCCCATGCACAGCAAGGAGCCCAACCTCTTGGGCACCTCTCGGTGCCTCTCCCCCTCTCCAGGGGTACTCACTGCTTTACCTCGTGGGAGACTGGATGAGTGACCTTGTTTGTGATAAAGTCCCTTGGCTGCTAGCCATAATCCTGTGCTCACCTCCGTAAATCCAGGCACTGGCCCTGGGAGAACTGAGCTGCAGTCGGATGTGAGAGTGTGAGGGAGGGATGCAGGTGGCATCGCCAGCTCTGCCAATGCCAGCGCGGGAGGGCAAGTCTTGGCTGAGCCCCTGTCAGAGGCAGCTCCTCCTTGCCAACACAGCTGGAATGAGATGCCTGACTCTGGGTTGGGAGGCAAAGTCTGAGCACGAAGCCGCACTCCCCCGCGTGCCGCTGGCTGCAGAAACTCCTGTGCTTTCCCCACACATTTTGCCTGGAGTGCCCTCCACGGCATGGCTCATGCAACTGTGCAGCCCTCCGGCACCGTGCCCCGTGCTGAGGCTGGTAATGCTCCAGCTCTGCCGTGGGCAACAGTGGAAACGCAGCAGGCAGATGGCAAGCACACCGCGCTGATGGCCTCCCGCCCATGCCTCCCATCCCATGGCAAGGAGACAGCATATCCATGGGTCACACGAATTTAGCATAGCCTAAACACTTCCCCACTCAGCCCCCCGTCACCTCCAGCACTGCTCCTGTGGGCTCAGAGCTCATCCTGCTCAATAACATGATTTTCCTGGCTGTGGATGCCCACAGGACCCCAGAGCTGGACTCAGCATCCTCCAGAACTTAGGGATGCCTGAGGACTGTGAGGCCACATTCCCTGGGGTCCCCTGGGGAGCAGCACACGGGCGGCCCATGCTGCCATCAGCTCCACTTGCTGGGGAGCATCAGCTGCACTGCAGCTTCCAAACCCAGAGCTTTATAGTCTGGCCAAGCCCCAGGGGCTCAAAAAATCACAAGCTGAATCTCAGTGTTTAACTGTGTTTTGGGTTTCCTTTTCACTCTCACGCAGCTGGGGAGCTGTGTTTGGGACACCAGGCTGCAGTACTTTACTTGTCTTTCTGTCCCTGCTGCAAACCCCCTCCAAGCCCCTTGTTTGAAGCTCAAGGTCCTGCCAGGTTTCCCCTGCCCCCCGTCAGACTCCTCAGCTGCCTGCATCTCCTGCTCATCAAACCCCAATTGGGTTTGGGAAGGATGCACTCTCCTGCACAGCATGGAAAAGGAGCCCTTATGCTTTGACTGGAGGTTGAAAGGGTTAAACAGCTCAACAGAGAGGCACAGCTCAGAAAGGGGACTTCCAGCAGGTAAACTGAGGCAAGCCCACACTGCTGCTGGAGAGAACCCACCTCCCTTTGCTCCTGGCAGCTTGGTTTCCCTTTGCTGCATGATTCACAGGCACCTCTGCAAAGGGATGGGGCATTTGGGGAAGCATTGCATGGCTGTGACTTGCCTGGCACAGGTCCCCCATAGATTGGGAAACTGAGGCCCGTGTGGAAAGTCACCAGAAAATCTGTCCTGTCCCATCCCACGATGACCACACAGGGATCCAAGCCTCCATGTTGGGATCCAGGCTCGCTCTCCTTGGGGACCATGGGCTCCCGACATCTCCAGCAGGATGACGGAGGTTTGGCTGCCTGCTCCAGTGGAGTGGGGAAGAAGGGGAGTCGGGATGGGACTTTCATTAAGAGACGACTCTTTGTACTCGTATAAAAATGATGCACCAGCCCCCCGGAGCTGTCAGATCAAATGCTGAACTGCGGCTCACCCCGTCCTGCTGGATCAGGCCAGGAAGAAGAGCTCAGCCCCGAGGGGCTGGGGGACGGCAGGCAGCTCGCCGGCACCACGGGGGTCCCCAGCCATG